AGGAAGGAAGGAAGGAAGGAAGGAAGGAAGGAAGGAAGGAAGGAAGGAAGGAAGGAAGGAAGGAAGGAAGGAAGGAAGGAAGGAAGGAAGGAAGGTCACATTCAAGATGAAAGAAATGTTTTTGAACTTGATTCAGAAAGATGAATAGGTAAATATAATATGTAAACTAGTGTGTATTTAATAAAAAGGAATTAATAATAAAAATTTTTAAAGGATGGGAGAAAAGAAATTAAAACCAAATCAAATGGCTAGAAAGAAGAAATAAACAAAACCTAAAATGACTTCAAAACCTGCAAATCTCACATCTACTTCCAGCCACTTGGCCATATTCCCCAGCTCATTTTTCTTCTTTGCTTTGCCATGAATAAACAAGGCAAKGTTTCCTTCCTTGTTAGGAGTTTCCTTTGACCCATGATTATTTAGTCTATGCTAAATTACTGTTTCTACACTGAATTATTTGTTCTGCGCACTGAGTCTCCCAGGACATAAGGAATCAGAAAAAAATAAATAAATAGTCATAGTATCAGAATTGTTTAGCTCCCAGGAAAATAAATTGTAGAGAAATGTAGAAGAATACAGCACTCAGCAGCCGAGCAAGAAAAGCTTCTAGGCATAAAGCAAGAAAGGGCATAACCTGATATATTGCCCAGGCTGAATCTTTATTTGAGAAAGGACAAGTGCACTTCCAGAACTGGTGAGGTTTTAAGAGGCAGAAGGCATGGCAGCCTTGTCATGAGCTGTCCTTTAGGAGAACTGGGGGAGGGACAGCAGAGATGTGTTTGAACAGTGTCCTCCAGAAACAGGCTGCAAGGCTTCTAAAAATGTTCCAAAAAAAAAAAAAAAAAAAGACAGGGGGAAAAAAAAAAAAAAAAAAAAAAAAAAAAAAAAAAAAAAAAAGGACAACAGCCAAACCCAAGAATCTGCAAATTCAGCAAAGCAATAATAGGTTTGTGGAATATCAAGCAGAGAAGGGGTGAGGGGGAAAGGCAAGGCTCAAGCAGTACAGAATGGGAGGAGGAGATGGGATTTTGGTGCTGACTGTTTCTCTGGCTATTTTCACAGTGCTCTCAGCACTTGGAGAGCTTCAGCATGGGCAAGCCTTTCCTGAGTCCCAAGGGGCAAAGCTGGATTTCAGCAAGGCAGTGAGGTAATGTGAGCGAGCAGTGAATAAATACCTTAGAAAAGCAAAGTGCTTGGTGTGCCCTGCTGCTCTTCCAGCGCTGCTGCTGGACATTTTCACACCCCACAGTGAAATATTTCCCTTACTTATGCCTCTATTTTCCTGTGCACCTCAGGCAATGCACATTTCCTTGTCATCATTCCAGACCAAGGTCTCTGCCCCTCCACAGCAGTTCACGTTCTGGTTTCAGGTAAATTAAGATTTGTAATTTTTTTAAGACTTGTGATTACCGTGCCATGAATCCAACCAATCCCCGCTGTTTGGTGGTGCAGTTTTGATCAGCTTTATGCAAAAGGCACAGTGCAGAGATWAACTTGGTCAGGGCCATTTTCTCTGCCTGCCCAGGTGAGGGTGGGTCCAGGAATCCGGCATGGTCAAAATCAGTGTTCCACAGGGAGAACACTTTTGCTGTTAAATCTGAGTTATTAATGAATTTATTTCACTTCTTGTCTGGGCTCACGGAACACGGCAAGGCCAATTGCAGAGTGAGAGGATGGTTAAACTGTGCTCTCCCATCACTTATATGAGTAACCAACCACTCACAGTGGGATGAGGGGAAGAGGAGAATCAGCAGAGCAAAAGCAAGGAAAATRGATCAAAATAAAGACAGTTTACCAAGCAAGGCAAAGCTGCACACACCAGCCAGACAGTTTTTTTACTGTCCCTGGTTCTATACAAGCACAGTTCTGTATTTCTATAGAGCATGGAAATGATGCTGCAGGAAGGAATTCTGCTTTTTATCTCCCCTGTAATCCCAGCATGAAACAGGAGTTTAAAAGAAAAAAAAACAGAGCAGTAGCACTCTGATTACATGTTATAGTAATATTTTTTCCCTAATTTATGAGTTGTAGAAGCAAAGCTTTTCTTATAACCAGTTTGAAATAGAACTTAGAGGAGTGCACACCTTTGATATTTATAGGAGAATGAGACACATCAGAAAATTAAATCTACAAGTACTACCATCAGTATGTTCAGAATTTGTGCTCTTTAAATAAGAGACATTTCTTTGCTGAACATGTTTTTCCTGTCATACTTTWAAAAATGGTCTTTTTCTTCTTTTCTTTCCTTTCAAAGTATAGGGAGACACCACAATAGGTCTTCTTTAAAAAGATTCTCRTTTTATTAAGGATAATGAAAGGTTTAGTGCATCTTCTAAGCATGGTACCGTCATCCTGGMGACTGTGTAAACAGATATTTTAAGTGCAGATTAAGAGTTACATTATTACATTCTTTACAGAGAAATGTTTGGTTTAAAAGTGAAGATAATTATCTAGAGATATTAGGGAAATAGTGCCAGAAGGACCTTAGTGAATTGTTCCATAATTCCTTGAATAAAATACTCAAAACCACATTTCATTTCCTTTAAAGAGGAGAATTGRCATTTTTTAAAATCCTTCTCTACTAAAAGACTGGATTTAGAACTGTAGTTGCTAAAACAAGGGAACCTTAAATATAACCTGAAACAGCATCTGAGTTTGAGGGTCTGAGARGAGAGGTTCCCTGACTCTGAAGTAAAGGGAGTAATGTTTGTCTGGCAGTTGGGGATAGAAAAATTAAATTTAAATCTGAATTATAAATAGGAATAATTAACTACTAAAACAACCTACCAAAGTATTTCTTTTTTTCTTTTTTAACAGAGAACAGGGTTTTCTTCAGTGATAATTTTTTTTTTGTTTGTTTGCAGGGATTGATAACTTCATAAAAAGTTTTTTGATAAATGTGAATTCCTTTCCCCAAATTTGAACTTTCTTTAAGACTACACTTAATATTATTCCACTTTTGACAAGAAAATATGCTATTAGGCAAAGCTTGGGTGCTTAACACCTAAAACTTCCTCTTGTGTAGTAATTGGAGGATTTCAGTTCTCAATGTCAAATTAAGAAATCTGAACACAGATATTTCATTTGAGATTCCTTCTAGTGGATTGTTTTCCCCCCAACCAAATGTAATCCCCGTCACCTGGAATTGCTACCTGAAGAACGGATCACTTTCTAAAACACAGGATAAAGTTCAACTGAAAATTGGTAGATTTGAGATGTGAACAAAAGGATGAAAATCTGATGCAGTGAGTATGGCAGAAGACACATTCACGTATTTTCCATGAAGTTGAAAAATAAATCTTTGTTCTGTATTTCTGTGTGTTACTAGAACAGTATCAGAACAAAGGTGAGCTGGTATTTTGACAATTCTTTGATCATAAAACTAAACATAAGGATAATTTTTCCCCACCCAAATGAACAGGTATGATTTTATGCACTTGATTTTCACACAAATTTGAYTTTCGGGATTCAAGACTTTTACCATAAAAACCTGGTATTATTACTGCAGATGTTCTGGAATGCAGACTACTTTCCAAAGGTGGAAAAATTTTCAAGGAAATTCATGTTTCAAATTTTAGCCTTAGACAAATAACAACATATTAAAGAAAAAAAATGAAGGAAAATAGCCCTTTCACGAGGAAGTTCAGTGATCTGGATGAAGTATCATGAAACCCAGTGGGCACTTGAAGATTGACTAGAATTGCAGATATTTGAGGTAGAAACCCCTTGGGAACTTAGGGACTGAGCTATAAAGCAAGATTCAGGCTTTATTTCCATGCTGCCTTATCTTCTGCTGCCCATTCATTAGCACTTGGAATTGTTAAATAAAATAAATCATGTTTAAGCTGCTATGGACAATTTCTTTTAAGAAATAACCTGGCAACTGAATTTTTTGTTTGGCATATTTTGACAGTTTCTTTCTCTCTTTCCTTTCTCT